TTGAGTTTTTCTTTATATTTTCCCCCTGTTGGCTTTCTCATTTTCTCTGTTTTTTTCCTGGATCATATGAAAGCAAGTTGCAGACATCATGATACTTCACCCTTAAAATACTTCAGCTTTTCGAATTTCCTAAGAACCAAGGACGTTCTCTTACATAGCTATAATATTCTTATTATACCCGGGAAATAATCATATTATCTAATGTATAGTCCATGTTCAGATTTTCCAACTGTTAGAAAAATATCCTTTACCATAGTTTTATTTTGCTTTGTGACTTTGATCAAGGATTCAGTCAAAAATCACAAATAGCAATTGGTTGTCACATGTCTTCAGTCTCTTTTATGAACTGTCTTGCCTTCCTGCCTCCCTGCCTTTTTTGTTTTCTCCTACTTTGTGTTTCATGATGTTAACATCTTTGAAAAGTCCAAGACAGGTGTCTGGTAGAGGGTCCTACAATCTGGATTCACCTGACTGTTGGTGTCCTCATTATTAGATTCAGATTAAACATTGCTAGCAAGTATACACTGCTTCTCTTCAGATATGATGTTGGCTAGGCTAAATTTAATCACCTGACTAAGTTGGTGACCTCTCATGGTAAAGGTGCCCAATCCCCTTAGTAGATAAGTCATCTGTGGAGTAATTCTTAGAGATCATGTACACATCCTGTTCCCTGACAGTCATTCACCAATCATTCAAACCATTAAGATATCTAAAGTGTTATCTTTTCCTTTGTGAGTGGGTATACAGGAAAGTGCTACCCTAGAGGAGAGAGAGCTCTTTATTTTAGAGATTTGTACTTAAAATAATATTTTTTTGATGCAGATGAGGAAAAATTAAGTTTACCATTCTGACTTCTTTCTGGACTGGGAGAATTCAGTAGTAATGAGGTGAATTTCCTTTCAACAGCCACAGCCTAAAAAGATAAGACATTTGCCCCCTCCCATTTGAAAATGCTCTGAAAGTAGTTCTCCATAAAGCATAAAATCAAATGGGCATTAAAACCATGAAATTCCTTTGGAAGGTGGGATAAAACGGAAATGGTTTTGTTGTGAGACTTCTCGATCTAGGCTAATAATCTTTTTTGGGAATTTATCCTAAAGCTTTTGTACCCACTCTACTCATGACTGGTTCACTCAGTGAGTGTTATCTGATGAGGATCTTATTTCACTTCTGAAAGCAGGGCATTGTTCCATTTGTTTGGGGAGTTAGGGGGTAACAGGACAAGATTCATTCCAAGCAATGCAACGTCAAACCACCCTTCCATCTTGAAATTGGAGATTATCCTGCATGCTGTATATGTTCTCCCACTCGCAATTCACAACGATAAGACATGTTTTTTAAACAATTAACTATTTCTCCTAAGTAAACAAAATAGTTCTTTAATATTGGGGTAAAGACCTTTAATACTTTCTAAGAATTCATTTATAATTTGCTTCATTTTTCTTTTAATTGTTTTGTAAGAGGATTTTAGACACTCTTCTTGTGGCCAGCTAGACTTGGTCCTGTGTATCCTCTTGAGTCATGAATTAGCACATTCCGTTCTTGAAGTCTGTAAAAATTTTGCCCCCGTTTTGCAGGTGTGGTTTGATCACACACTTTTTTTCTCTCACTAGGATTCTGCTGAGCGAGAAATCAGCAGGGCATGGTTAATCTGTAATGAATGTACATTAGCCTATACCAATTCTGTGTTTGGGAGATAGTGGATTACCCCCTACATTTGCTTGATAAGTTCTCACACTGTATTTTGGCTTATATTATGGTGGTGGTATAGATTCTAGCATATGAATGTTTAAGTTAATACATGGCTAATTCAAGCAGCTGAGATTGAGAGGCTTCAAAGTTGAGCGACTCTCTTGAAGGAATGATTTTAGTTTTCAGTTATGAGATGATGGATCCCAAAACGTATTGGTTAATTAGATTAGTATGTCCCTGGTAATCACAATAATTCTGTGGGAGGCTTGAGGACGTAGCAAAGCTAGTATCTTTCAGTGACCACTTCCAGTTGGCTGTCAGTCCTTTGGATACATGCAGCGGGCCACCTCCAGCCCCAGTCCCGTGTATATGGCACAAAGCAGAGGGGACCTGGTCATAGGTTGACCTGCAGCTCATAGCTTCATAACGCATTTGACACTATGATGACTGAGGAAGTGCTGAAATAGTTCTTATTTTAAAATATTAATACTTTATCTTGCTTTCTGATGTGTAGCTTGACACTTAACCCCAATATGCAAAGCTTACTTTATTGAAAAGGCTTGCAAAGTACTTTGCTTGAATCTTAGGGACAGGCTCATACCTGTCAAGCAGGTTTATATTAATACAACACTGAAAAATACAAATATGTCAGAAGTCTAAAGAACAGGGTATCTTATTCAATATGAACAGCCATTTAAAGTAGTTTGTTTTGCTTGAGTTTTTCTTAAGCTTAATTGCTAGAGAAAGAATTAAAATAATGACAAAACTCTGGCTGCAAGTCCCTTGAAGGTATATGTCGTCATTTTTCTTTTAGGCCTATCATTGTCTGTTTAGTCTAAAGCAGCATTAAGTGTCCATGCATAGTCGTTGAATTAAATTTTCAAATGAGTTTCTAAATTCCTCGGGTCTTACTAGGTTTCTCAGTCTGTAGGTTGCCGCCTCTCTTGACCTTTTACTGATGGCTGTTTTCCCAGCTTCTGGTCTCCTTCCTCCCTCTGCTGATCAGTCACTTTTGGCTTAAAAGGTGCAACTTGTTAAGCTGTTGTATTTCACTTTTTGAAAAATTATATAGATAGGTCATATTGAAAACATTTAAAGAATTGTGACAGGTTACTCTGTATTAGACACTGTGTTAGGATTTTGCAATAAAAAGGAACTAAAAACCTGATGCTTGCCTGGGAGAGCTCACAGTCTGTAGGTAAAATATATGTGTGTGTACATATATATGGAGAGAGAGAGAGCGTGCGAGCAGGTGAGCTGAAAAGTACGTGCGAGCAGGTGAGCTGAAAAGTACGGGTGGTGGTGTGAGTGTGGCAGGTGGACCCTGGGGAACAGCTTATGGAAGGGCATGGTCAACTTTGCCAGGAGGGTTCGATATTGCCCCATAGTAACCCTACAGCAGGCTCTTTAAGGATGGGTTCCCTAGGTAGTCAGGGAGTGGAGAAGGAAATGGCTATGGTTTTGTGTGTTGGCCCTAATGAGAAGCAAGAGTGTCCTTTTGGAGAATTTGGTTTGAGTATGGATTAGAAGAAGATCTGGGAGAAGAAAAGGGCAGGGCATTGTGGATGTCACTAGTTGTGCTGGACATGCCAAGTTTGGGAAGGAGGTGTATAGGTTGGACCTATAGGGAAGTGGACGGAAGTCAGGGAACAGTTGTGGTAATGGGATTCAAAGTCTCGGTGAAGTCAGGGTGTAAGGAAAGGTGGAGGTGGGCGTTCAAGTGAGCTAGTGGAAGGGGCAGGTATTCTCAGAAATGCAGACAAAGAGGTCTGGCTGGGAAGAGACTTGGGGTATATGACCTTGAACACACATTGAGCAAAGGGCCCTATTCTTTGACCTGCTCCCCCCATCTCTACTATCTTTCCTGGGCCATATCTGCCACACTGTCTCTCACATATGCTGTTAACCAACTGAGATCTCACACCTACACTCCACACCAATTTATCCAGCAGCTTAAAGTCCTCCACCTTAAACTAACCTCATCTGCAACTCGAAGAACCTTACCTAGGAAACCTTTCCAAATCAACCTCGCCCTGTGCCAAATGTATTACTCTTTCTTTTGTACTTGGTGTGTATCCCCTACAGATTGTTAGCCATAACCCTTTATAGTCTCATGTTTACATGGTTTTATCTCTTAAATAATTAGACACTTGAGCTCAAAGAGTGTGTCTTTTTTTTTTTTTTTTTGGTAAATGAAAAAAGTATCTGGCACTCCTACATGCTAAATATTTGTGGAAGGAAGGAAGAAAGGGAGGAAGGAAAGGGATAAGGAAATTGAAGTTGAGAAAAGGAAGGAATTTAAGATCAGGGAGTCATGTACTTTTCCATGTGAGTTCTGCAGGTGTCACAGAATGGTAGTCATGGCTGAACAAGGAGCATGTTGAGTGAACCTGTGAGTGAATGAGGATGGTAATAGTGATACTGGGGGTGGGGGGAGGAGTTGATAATAACAGGGAGGGTCTTCCTCAAAGAAGGCGGCATTTAGGGGAAAGTTCAGTGACACTTGCAAAGGAATTTCAGACGGCTCAGTGGAATGGGTTGGGAGAGTACCTGGTTAAGTCAAGATCTACTGAAAACCCTTAACTCTTGGTAAATATTGCTCTGTGTGGGAAGTATTTCAGTGAGGATTGATTCAATCTCTCACTTTCGGATATCCCTTGAACCAAGTCTGGGGAGTTCCTCAGGAGAATGACTAATAACAACAACAGCAACAACATTTATCACGTGCTTGCATCAGCTTCCTAACTCTCACACCAGGCCTAGGAGGTTATGTCTTATAATATCATCTCCTCCATCTTATGAATGAGGAAAGCTTGGCTTAACGTGCCTAAGTATTACAGCATTCCCAGTCTTCATCTTCTTCCTAAGTGGGCCACTATGACAGCCAAGGCAACACATGCTGGAGCCAGGCGGGTCCCCAGAAGCACTGGAACTGCTGTCTGCGTTCTGGAAACACTACCAATTGCAGCCAGCTTCCTCAGTAAACTCACTTCCCTCTGCCACTCGACTTCACACCCTGGATGTTCAGAGTCACACTGCCATGGCGGGAATCTCATGGGCTGTACCGCTGCCTGCTGAAAATGGGGATTTGCGTTTAATGATAAAAATAGGTTAAAATACATAAGATAGATAAAATAGGGTAAAACACAGTAAGAAAGGGGGAGAGGAGAGGAAAAAGAATGCCTTTTAGTTTAGGAAGCATCATACTATTAATATTTAAAATTTCCCAAGAATAAATGTCAGCTTCTATGCCCATACATGCCTTCAGCCTGGGGCCAGGATGGTATGTTGGAAGAGGCAGACGTGGGTGACAAGAACGTTGGCTTTGTTTATTGGGAAAACATAAAACCCCCACAGGAACTGTGGAACAGGGACTATCAAAAGGTTTAAAAGTCTGGTGCTGCAGGGTGTGCTGCTTTGGGGGATTCTGCGGGTTGGATTCTCTTGCTTCTTCGAGAGTGTCTTTTCTTTGGTGCCAGCTGAGGGGGGCTTTGGGTGGCTGCCGCAGGGGGCGTTCGCCGCCGCAGAGAGGGGAGGACCTGCTGCCTCAGCCAGCGGAAGACCCACCCAAAGTTCAGACAGGACTGGGCTTGTGTGTCGGAAGAGGCGTCCTCCTCCTGCGCTGCCGCCTGCCCCGAGGAGACTGAGGAGCTCTTTGTCAGGCTTGTCTTTTGGCTGCCAGCTGCCTGGCTTATCTGCAAAGAAAATGAAGGATGACTTAGGTGTGTGTAACCTTGACCAGCAGTGGTGTCACTATTTACTCATTTCTGGAGTTCAAATCCAAACATGTTTGGATTGACATTGGTGAACATTTGAACATGTTTACCAAACATAGCCCCACTGTAAATGCAAAATTTCAATACTCGTTAATATTTAAACATATAATTTTTTTTAAAAAAAAAGTATACTTGTTAGCCTTTCTCCTTGCTTCTCACCCTCTTCCCTCCCTCAGAGCTCCCTGGTCTTTGCCCTACAACTCCATCCTGACTCCTTTCTCTGTCGAGATCCTTCTCCCACTGCTAGTCATGTCCCACACCCTGGGAGTATGGGGGGGCCCAGCCTGCTCCATGGCAGGTTGTAAGGCTCTGTGTGGTCCCATGTGCCCCGCACCCCCACCCCTCACCGCACCGGCCTGTCCCTTGCTGTCCTGTGAGACACCTCTGTGCTTAGCTCAGCAAGTTCATGCTCCTTAAGCCTTAGTGGAATCTGTGGGAACAGGGTAACATCTTCGTTTTCTGGCATTTTGCACATGAGCAAGCGTTGACAAGTATGGTGTTCCTGATGGCTGTCCTGAGCCCTATCTGGAGGGGGGCTGCCGGACAGCTGGAAGTCTTCCTCCTGAGTGAATTCGGAGAACACAGAGTTATCACCTTCATCATCTTTCTGATTTTCTAGAAATGTCTCAAGCGTTTGCACAAGACCATCCAGTTTGCTGAGAGTCAGGTTCGTTCTCTCTCTCGGGTGCTTGTCTGCCCACTGGTTGTCTCCATTTAGATCCCAGCTAGTGATGGAGTCTGCAGTGTTAGAGCCCACGTCAGCGTCCCAGGCGAGGGCAATGCTTAGTTTGCAGAACTGCTCTGGGCGGTCCTCAATTTGGTCTCGTCTCCTCCTGAGTCTCCCTGTGCTTCCAGTCCACCATGTCCCTTGGATAGGAGGGAGGAAGTGGATTGGAGAACCCTTGGAAGGAGTGTCTTCACAGGACATATTGTCCTCACAGAAGGGATCCTCGCAGGGGAAATAGCCCACAGACAGGCTCAGGTTGGAGCTGCATTCAGAGCTGCAGTATTCTGTGTCGCTGCTAGAGGATGAGTTGGCCATGGAGTTCGAGGGTTCAATTCTCAGGTGTCCCTCAACTCAGTAACCTTCCAAAAAAAAAAAAAAAAAAGTGGGATTGAGAAGAAAAAGAGAATGGTGGTACTTAGGCAATAACACCATCGATTCCTTTTTCTATTCAGAACTATCCCATTTAGATGGAAGCTCATCCTATTTTTGCAAGCTTCCAGTGAAGGGCAGAAGAGGTGGCCCTCTCCCTTTAAAAACTTATTTCCCAGATGGGCGCGGTGGCTCGCGCCTGTAATCCTAGCACTCTGGGAGGCCAAGGTGGGAGGATTGCTTGAGCTCAGGAGTTTGAGACCAGCCTGAGTGAGAGTGAAACACCTCGTCTCTACTAAAAATAGAAAGAAATTAGCTGGACAATTAAAAATATAGAAAAAATTAGCCGGGCATTCTGGCTCATGCCTGTAGTCCCAGCTACTTGGGAGGCTGAGGCAGGAGGATCGCTTGAGCCCAGGAGTTTGAGGTTGCTGTGAGCTGGGCTGACGCCATGGCACTGTAGCCTGGCAACAGAAAAAAAAAAAAAAAAAAAAACATTAAAAAATAAATAAATAAAAACTTATTTCCCTGTGTTATAGTCCTCTCTAGTAAGCATCGCCACCTGATAACCTCTCACCATTTGTCTTATTACAGTTGAAAGAATCTGTATAATAAAGAGGTTACAGGTCGGCCGTGGTGGCTCACGCCTGTAATCCTAGCACTCTGGCAGGCCGAGGCGGGTGGATTGCTCTAGGTCAGGAGTTTGAAACCAGCCTGAGCGAGACCCCGTCTCTATTAAAAATAGAAAGAAATTAATTGACCAACTAAAAATATATATACAAAAAATTAGCCGGGCATGGTGGCGCATGCCTATAGTCCCAGCTACTCGGGAGGCTGAAGCAGGAGGATTGCTTGAGCCCAGGATATTGAGGTTGCTGTGAGCTAGGCTGATGCCATGGCACTCACTCTAGCCTGAGCAACAAAGTGAGTCTCTGTCTCAAAAAAAAAAAGAAAGAAAGAGGTTACCATTGTATAAAATTGGAAAAATGCAGAAAAGTATGAAGATGAAAATAAACATGCCTGTGATTCCATCATCCAGAGATAATGATAACCATCATCAAAACATTTTGATGGATTTCCTTACAGTTTTGTCTTATTTGTCTATACATATATGTATGCATGTATATTTATACATATATGCACACATAGAAGATGCCATCTCAGTTGAAATTTAGATTATTAAATTTTATGGCACAGCCTACAACAAACATATATGTAGCTATTCCGTAATTTTTAACCACTTCTTATTACTAAACTTTGGGTGATTGTTTTAATAAATCTGCAGTGAACCCCCTTGTCCATAAATCCATACCTCTTGTTATTTTCCTATATGTGGAATTAATGGACCGAAGACCACAAATACATTAAAGTCTTGTGGTATCTGATACCAAATTACTTTCCAGAAAGATTATATACCATTTAGTTGCCCATCCTCCCACCATTTGATGGCACTTTTTAGTTCAGCTTTTTCCATGATGCCCTGGCAAGTAAGTGAAGGTGGAAGAACACGCACACACACGTCATAGACTCTGCCACGCACACGGCTACGAACACGGAAGAGGTGCTGCCAACTCCTGAAGCACATAAACGGGGGACGTTAGAAATCCTTCAAGTCCTGCGTCTCAGTGGCTAGAAGTCCAACTGTCAGAAGTCTGTGTTCTGGGACTGTTGGTTACCTTGGCAACACAAGGAAATAAGTCAGAGCCAGAAATGTGGAAGGTGGGGGAGGGGAAAGGGATAGAAAACCGCAGGGTCTACTCCCTTGCTTCCAAAATATTCTATACCCACCCATGCCATCTCGGGCTAAAGAGGATTCCCTCTTGAGGGCTGAAGGACAAGTGTGTTGTGGTTACTTCCCTCTTGCCATGCAGGTGTCTAAGATGGTTCCTGTCCTTAGGGAATGTAGAGCCTATTTGGTGAGATGGATGTAATCAGCCTATTGTAGGACACAAGGTGGGAACAAGAGAACTTAAAACAGATGTCAGGGGAAATGAAAGGTGGGGGCACCTTACGCAGCCAGGGCTGGGTTTGGGGTGGGGCTCCCAGGATAGGCCACCTGGGAGAGATTCCTTCTGATGTGAGTTAGTAAGGGAGGAGTGGAAATTAGCAAGGTGGAAAAAGCAGAAGGGGTGGAGGGAGAAGGCCCAGTGCGAGCCAGGATGCCCTGGTGAGAAACAACCTGTTGCGGGGATGGGGGGGTGGGGGTGGAGAGGAAGCTCCATGGGACCAGGGGAGTCAGATGATAGAAGGCCTCTTCCCCTGGGAAGGAAGCTGGACTCATCCTCTGTGCCTGTACTTGGATGGTGGTATTCATTTATAAAGCATTCTTCTAGGCAGTTCAAAATATATTGAAGTATTTGACATGATTTAAAACAAAACAAAGGAAGACTTCCAATTGACTTGATAGCATGATTATTGACTTTAATGAGAATGGAATCAGTAGATGACAAACCCAAGAACTGGGATTCAGACATAGGCAGTCTGGCTTCAGAACCCACACTCTACCCCTACACACCCTTTGTCTCTCAAGGGGCTGACCGCCCACCTCCTCCCTGGAAGATTCCTGGGATTGTTGACCCAGTTCAAAATCAAACCCATATCCTGGTTCCTTAAAGTCCTTTGAGGGAAATAGTGTGTTCTTAGAGACATACAAGATGTACAGGTGGCACACAGGACTGGCCCTAGACAATGGTGTCCACATTTGGGGCAGGCTAAAATGGGATTTAAAATAAATATTCAACTTCCTCTTTGGCATAATGAGATCTAGATTCCTGTGCTCTGGCTTTTCATAAAAACTCTGTGACTGCCTTCCAGAACACTGGGGGCCTAGAGAAGTATACATATTAATAAGTAGCCTTCTCTCCATACGGCCTGAGTGGAGGTAGGGGAGAAACTGTGTATTGTACCACTGTATGTTACCCATGGACATGGAGCACTTTGATGAGAAACATTTAAGGAAAAAATGATTTTCCAGCCTAAACCACCAAGGTTAGAGCAGTCCTAAAGATAAAAGAGCTTCAAGGGAAGGTTACCACTAAGAAAGCTTGAAATTCTACTTATTTATTTTTACCATTTCTCTACAATTTCTCTCTCTCTCTCCCCTCCTCCATATTTTATATATATATATATATATTTTTTTTTTCATTTTAAATATATAACTCAGGTAGTGAAAGTCCCTGAGTCCTTCTCTCCTGCCTCAGAAAAAAAGATAATCATTTTAGATGTTTATTCCCCCCAAAGCATCATAGAAATAGGAACAGTACACATCATTCTGAGGATGTCATGCTGAGGAGTGGAGTCAGTTCTAAATGACAACTTAGCTCTCACCTCTAAAAGATCAAGGGATTTTTGGGTCCTCAATAACAATACTGCTTGTGTTAATTTCTTTCTTAGGGCCTTAATTTGACTTGCTGGTCCAGCTTCTCTTGGATTACAGCTCCATTATCTAAAGAGTATATAAACTGCCTTTTCTCTTGAAGCAAGATCATGCGTAATAAAGCTGCTTGAGGTTTTAAAAGTGATAGTATGTTGTGGATTTATGTTCTAGGCCTGAAGCCAGTAATAACTTTTAAGAATTGGAATACTTCCTAAAATCCATTTGACTTGATGGGATTTAGAACCTAAATATGTAGAGTAGGAAGTTTCTAATTTAGAACTTAAGCTATGATGGTTGGTTCATTTTGTGTGTCAATTTGACTAGGCCATGAGGTGCCCAGATACCTGGGTAAACGTTACTCTGGCTGTGTGTGTAAGGGTGTTCACGGTGAGATAATGTTTGAATCGGTAGGCCCAGTAAACAGGTTGCCGTCCCCAACGTGGGATGGGCCTCAGCCAGTCTGTGGGAGGCCTGAATGGAACAAAAGACCAAGTAGGGGGGATTTTGCCCTGCCTGACTGTCTTCTAGCCGGGAAGCCTCCAGGCCCAGACTGTAGCTTATACCCACCATCAGCTCTGAAGCTTCTCAGGCCTTCAGGCTCAGAGTGGAACTGTACCATTGGCTGTCCCGGGTCTCCAACTTTCAGATGGCCGATTTTAGGACCTCTCAGCCTCCGTAACCCCATGTGCCAATTCCTCTTTATATATAAAGCCTCTTGTTGGTCCTGCTTCTCAGAAAAACCCAGACTCATACGGCTACTTATTTATTTTATTTTCCTTTTTTTAAAATTTTTATTATTTCAGCGTATTATGGAGATACAAAATGTTAAGGTTACGTATATTGCCCATGCCCTCCCTCCCCCCTTGAGTCAGAGCTTCAAGCATGTCCATCCCCCAAACATTGCACATCTCACTCATTGT